CTAGGTGATTGGTTTCGCTGGTCTTGACCTCAGCCAATGGGAAGACAAGTCAGGGGCGTGGTCCTGGGAGTTGATGGGGGATATGGAACATTCGGCGCAGGCTATTGAGGATTGGCTGGAGTGTACCACGTGACCCAGGCATTAAATAAGGGGAGAGAGGAGAGACACGGGGTCAGACACGGAACGAAGAGAGAAAGAGGCCACGCGCGAGTGGGGCTCCGGGTGCCACGTGGTGGTGTGTCTCTGGTGGCTGTCTGCCCGCTTCCCGTTGCCTGCCAGCAACGGGGAGTGTTTGTGAACTGAAGAAGTGAAATAAAAGGACCGATTCTACAAGCCGTCTCCAGCGTGTTATTACATATGCAATAATACGTGGACATCCATTTACAGATACCCCGCCGATTTTTAATGACTCTCACTTTTCTTCTCGACAGGTGATTGAATGCCTCGTGAGAGCCATTGCTCCCGTATCTTACAGACGAGGTGTAATGATCGCATTCAGATTGGTGGGAGATGCGCCGAGGCTGCGATATAAAATGTTTTCTCTGTAATTTGTCTCTTGATTTTTTAGTGGAGTATCTATAATCGGCTTACCCTGCATTCACTGCGTTACTGTTAACAAATTGGAGTATTTGGTTGGATATTTATCGATTAATTTAACATTTTTTACTGTGAATAAACCAACCTGCTTGTTAAAACATAACATGAGAACAGAATGTTAAATGGTTTAAACAGTTACACTCAAATGCGATACAGTCAATAGATATGTGTATGAAATGACCACAAGCCAAAAGCACATACGTGTACATGAGAATTACACTCGATGTTTAACACGTAGGCTTTCGCGACCAATATTATTCATAATCAACGTTTTTGGGTTTAGATCGCGTTATTTATAAATGTGTCGTAACCCTCCACCACCCGACACGGCCAATCAGTAAAAAAGTGTCACGTTAACAAAAGACAATTAGTTCACTGCTTTAGCCCACCGGTGTCTTGAAGCGTGAAACCACAACATTTACAATTTGAGTACGACGTTTCGCTGGTAATTGCATCCAGCATCATCGGGCAATTCGCCAGAATGGTGAGGCTCTGCTGTGTCTCCCGTTCTTATATAGAGCAGCAGCAGGGTGACGTCATCATGTTCCAGGTCACAATAGAAAGGACAACAAACTAAACACAAAAAGTAGTTCTAAAGAAATGAGATTTCAATCTATGTTTAAAAGTGCATAGCTCCAGTGACTTCCTAATATGGGAAGGAAGAGCGTTCCAAACGGCCGCAGAAGCGCATCTGAAAGCACGCGATGCGGTGACTGTCTTTGCTCGATGGCCAGCCAAAAGCCGCTGCGAGGATGACCGCAGTTCGCGTGATGGTGGTTTATGCTCCGACTCACAGAGAATGTGTTGACGAATGTGGTGAGTTTTATTTTATTTATGCTTGTGCACCACTGCCAACGCAGCAGCATCACCAAATAATTTGTTTCGCGTACAAAGGAATTGTCCTCTGCCCCAAGCAGGATTATCTCCTCAGAAGTTGCTAGCCCAGATTTCAACCCTGGACACTGGTTTTCCTCAACTATATGCATAATAAAAACTATAAGAATACGGCACAATGGTACATATCCAGCTCAGTGGGAACTGAGGTATAGACGGATATGTGAAAAGGTTGGATGAGTAAACAGACAAACCTAAAGTGCAAACTGATTTCAACATGGCAACATGCTTTACCGTAATGCACGAGTGAATATTCACGGGATAAGGAATACAGTGCTGCATGTGAAAGGGTGAACCTCGATAGGAAATGCCATTTACACCATTCATAAATACTGAGCCGAGCGGGGGCGGTTAATCCGTGAGGGTGGATGTGTGACGGTTGGATGTGTGATGCACTTATATCTCAAAACATTTGAAAAATATTAAAATAAACCAAAATGAGGTTGAGGCAGCATATCACATGCATGTGTGTATGTTGAATTTTGTTCGCACTGTACGTAGCCAACCGTGCTAATCGGAGATGCGAGGGGAAGAACAACAAACGAAACACAAAAAAGAGTTCTCAAGAAATGAGTTTACAATCGAGATTTAGTGGCCTGCATGTTTGGAGCCAAAGTTGCCACTATTTGTCACAGTCTTGCGATGCAGCATTACAAATCCCACTCCTGCTGCTGATCTCTTCAACTCCGTGTTCACGGGAGTCGTCCCCGGGCATGCTTTCCCCTCCTTTGGCTGCCACTGCCATGCGTTTCGACCGTCGGCCATCGTCACTTTGAGCGACGTGTCCTGCTCAAGCCCGCTTACCTTTCTTAACAGTCAATACGATGTCCCTGATTTTGCATTTTGTTCCCCGATCCACGCATCTGCACCCCCGATTAGCACGGTCGGCTACGTATGGGGCGAATGAGGTTCAATATACACAGTGTTAATTCAAGTGTCCCCTTCTCAGCGCTTCTTTGCACACTATTAAAACCTCGTTCAAATTGCATTTGTCGTAAACAAGGCCCCCTCTTTCCCCACCCGACTCCCCCCCCCTACCGACCCCCTTTGTCTTCCCAATGTGATGGCTAAACACTTTTCTGCCCCCGAGATTTTCATTGCCCCCCCCCCCCCCAGCTACGACCAGCCCGACCCACAACCCCTCTAACACGCGCCTGGTCTGTTGTCACTAAAATGACACCTCCACTTTAAACAGCAGCACCATTCTTCGTCTCAAACCACTATCAAATCACGTACAATTGTATAATCGCCGTAAAGCGCCGTGGACAATGCGCTATATCCATTTCAATAAGACGGGGTAAACATTCACTGATCGAAAACTTTCTTCCATCAGCAGATTCCTACGTTGCTTTTTCAAAAGCACGAACAATTTGATCGTGCACGCCGCTCTACATAATCATCGCATTCAACAATTGCCTCGCAAAATGCCTTCCCACGTATGTCCCAGTCACGTTTCCTCCCAACGAGAGGCTTTCAATTGCCGAAAGAGAAGTCGTTGTACGTGAGTTTTGTTTTGCCCGTATTTATCTTGAGCCCACATTTGCAGCCCTCTCGATTAAGTTCTGCAAACATTTTCCAGAGTTAATTTCCAATTGGACGGAACATCGTGATTTTTTGCAATATCCCGGCATCTACAAAGTAAGCTGTATCTGCGGCAGCTGTTACATTGGGGAAACTAAGCAACTTGTCTCGGACCGTGTTTGTGAACATAGGGCAGATTTGAAACACGATAGGACCAATACTTCTGCCGTGGCTAATCATTATTTTAATGCGGCTGCCTCAGACGAAAGAGATTTCTTTAAGACGATGCTACTTTGCAAGCCTACTGACTATCAACAAAGATTCGTTCATGAAGCCATCCATATATACAGACACAGACACAATTTCTACCGAGAGGAAGGTTATAGACTCAAAAATCATTGTAAATATGTCATCAACCACTTTGGGTCATGACTTAAATTGTATTTTCTTCATGGGATCTCCTTTGCCAGTACCAAAATATACTAATAGGGTTTTCTCCCTTTTTTTCTGGCAACAAAACTGACACCTTTTGCAAGGAATCATGCTTACATTAACCACAATACCTGCAGTCAAATGCAAAAAAAACTAATACTCTGATAATTAAAAAAAAGGGAGAAAACCCTATTAGTATTATATTTTCTTGTTAATCAAACTCCACCGTCAGCAGTGTGGTGTGCGGAGCGGGGTGCAGGGATTTGTTGGCGGCCCTTTGCTGCATTGGCATTGCTGCTGCATTGGCATTGCTGCTGCATTGGCATTGCTGCACCGCCCATGCTGCTGGTGCTGTTGATACACTTGGGCTACGCCCATCTCCAAACCTGTATAAACAGTTTGACTTTAGACGCCAACTCCTTTGCCTGATGACGACGGCTTGTGTTGTGATGGAAACGTCGTGATATTTTTATTCCCTTTTTTATTTTTTTCTATCTTCGATACTTTACCGAAAGAACCAAAGAATATGAATTTCTGCAGTCACGAAAGTTTGAAGTAAAAATGTAACTATGCATCAAATATAAAATATGAAAAACTCCAGTCGCTTATTTTTAGCTATATTCCTTCTCTTTTTATCCCACAGAGCCGAATGTGAACCCAGGTGCTTAAAAATGTTAAGTCTCTGGACAGGAACCATTAAGCCCCGCGGCTTGGGGCAGTTTATAGCAATTGGGATAAAATGTGGCAGATATTTCTGGACGGTCGTCCAAACGCAAGCACGAGGTACAGGGAATAGACGCGGGCGATGGGTGCACTTAATTTAAACAGAAGTAAGCTTTAAGGCTGGGCAGGTTATCATTCACCCTTTCTTCAAAAGGAGCATATTCTCTGCTCAGCCTCAACATGAGACATCTCTATGCCTAGCCATTATTTTGTCATGACTGGTGTTATTTTGCTTCGTTTGAAGTGTTCTGTGACAGTAAACACGCGCGCTTCGTACTGCATTGTACGAGCAAACTTGAAAATAGAGAATTTAATTAGTAGAGTTGCAGATGCATTATTGTTATTACTCAACGATTTTTAAAAGACAAAATATACGATTTTAGAAACTTCCAACAGGCCGCAATGCTCCAAAATATGAATTGGTACTGGCAAGCTGTCAGAATAAAAATAAAAACCTGCTCTGGGTGTTGCCTCAATGTATAACAGTACAATTGAAACCATTTGTACGGGTGGAGGGGCGCTGAACCAGATGTCCCGACCCCCACTGGCACGGCAGTAATCAAAGCAGCTCACAACTCAAATGCAAACACCGTGCATCAAAACTATCGCTCACAGACTAACGCGTTTAACTGCTGTTTTATAGCGGGCAGTGTAACACCGCCCCTTTACCAATCCACTGCTGGGCGAAAGCCCCCCTTTAAGCCACGAGGAATAGATCATCTTGACCGTACTTCGTCACGCTGCTCCGTGCGGGTTGGACAAAGCGGGTGGGCACAAGGACCTGTGTGAGCTATCGCTCACCACTGGTGTTAAGCCGTGGCCGGGAATCGAACCTGGGTGGCTGGGTTGATCGTACAGAGCGCTTGCCACGGCGCCACCTCTCCACCCAGTGTCACCTTGCACTGCAACATAGCCATGTCCACTTGTGCATCGGAGAACGTGGCACATATGTAAACAAACACGCAGGTAAAATTACTAACGCTTCATTATATTCACCGTTCGTATAATTACGTTTAATGCCATTGATTTTGTTTTTAAGTATTTACACTTTCTTTAAATCCTGAAATCGGTCAATTCGCCAAGACATTCACTCATGTGGGTGAATGCGGCGATAACAATGGGATCTCCCTCTGCTTGCCGCACCAAACGAGACGCTTCTAAGCCCGTTCTCCGCACGAAACACTTTGGGTTTTTTTTCCCCTACGGAGAGTAAAGATCCTATGAGCACCGACGCAGTGCGCAGTGGATCTCGGCGTCGTATTTGGGAGGGAGGCTCAAGCCGCAGATCCGCACTCTCCTCCGGGTGTTTTTTTCCTTCCAGGGTTAAGCCCGAATGCTGTTCGGGAAACGACGTCTCAGCTGGCTACCTGAAGAAGCTCTCATCACGTGGAGCACGAACCGAGAGCTGCACGTCGGAGAGCTGCACGGCGGAGTACGCAGGGGTTGTGTCGTGAGGCGGCGGCGACTTCCAATGGCCGTGCCATCATCACGCGACGTGACGCTGCGCAGGCCGAGAGGATTCCAGCGGTGTTTATTGCTTCTCGTTACGACGTCTCTGATGCCCCGATGGCACAGAGATAAGTCGTAATTGCCTGCTGCATTTGGCAGATATTTTCCCAATAAGTACACATCCCACGTACGGCTCAGAATATTCTATCGCATCAGAGCACCTGGATATTTCCCCAGTTAGAATGGCATGCAGAATCGGGCGAATGGATTCTCACATTATGTTAACTGAGGCTTCAAAGCAAAGCTTATAACCAAAATAAAAATGTTACGGTTTATCCGCTTACAAATGCTGCACGCTCTTTCACCAAGGCATCGTCGTCACCGTTTGTTATCAGAAATGAATTGCAGTTGTAGAAAAAACGCATTTATGACAGTGTGGGCACAGCCCCGGAGTGCCGATTGCATACCTGTCTTTGTACGGTTGTACAGTTGTTCCAAAGATTGTTTTTTTTTTATAAAGAGGTTTCCTTTATTATGAGATCATCCTAAGTGCGATCGCCTTCGACTATACAAGCTAGCAAGGTGCCGAGTAAGGGAATATAGACTCCACAGTGTGGCGCAACTTGTCTCGAAGTGTAAGGCGTCGGACATTTAGCAGCATAGATGCCGGAGCAATAACGCCACACTCATGGAACCCCAGAGTTGCCGTGAGCCAGCAGCGCTAGGGCCGAGCCTCTTTTACATTTCCAGCCGAAGGTGTTGCCGCATCACGACGTGGCGATGGTTTTTTGGGATCGTTTCTGATGGGAAATACCATGAGACACGCCGATTGACGAAACATAATTTGATTTAGCGGGGGAATTAAGTAGTCGAGGAATCGAATCACCATTGCTCTCACCGTTACCATGTTCGTAGTGGTGCCCCGATGTCTCTCTTGTGTGTATATATATTTAGCAATACGTACAATGGACGTGGCAGGACATTTCTCCGATTTATTTGGCTCGGGTTGTGCGTCTGCTCCACTAAACAATTCAACACTAAAGTAGGAGGTGAAGTTCGTAAAAAAAATCCCAAAGCAGTTGATTTCCCACACAACTGAAGCTTACACGTTGTCATTTGTGTGCGTTTTACTTTGTAAGCCATGGATTCTTTTGTTAAATTAAAATAAAATTGTCCCCGCTGACAAAGCAGTTGTTAAACATACGTGCTGTCAACTCACTTCACAGGGCCCTGCAAAAGTGCGGTTGTGATTACACATTTCCGCAGATGGTTGCCGAAAACACACTCCTGATGGGTAAGGACATGTGCTCCGGTTGTTGAATCTCTCATTTCTCTCCCGAGGACTGCACGGCTGGCCGGTTAAATCTTTAAAAAATTATGACAAGGTGGCTTTCAAAAGAAATGTTTCCCTTAAAGTCATAATGTGGCTTGCAGCTGTAAAACACATTACTCGTCAATTCATTCAACATGAGCAGGACACACCATGGGCTCATTTGCTGTGTGGTAAACTTCAGACTCGTCCCTCGGAACATCATTTGTAAGCAGGAGGACATAATGCACCGTTTTGCCAGATTATATCATCACAGCCACAGCAGTAAAATAATCGCTCCACTTGCATGCATACGTGATGTGGCATCGTCTTAGTGCTTACGACACCAACGCAAAGTTATGTTGTTTAGATGTACTGTACCGCCATAATGTCGTTTACACGTAGGTTCTGCTTACACGCCATTTTCCTACGAGATATTTTGGAAACTACTGCTGAAAGCCAAAATACAATAAAAAGTAAATGAGTCCATTTATATCTTGATGAAAAATGTCACCTGTCTACTGTGAACCCGTCGTTATTCTCGTGCCTTGTTGTCGTTTTGAGTCCTGTGCAACGAGCCAACACAGCAGTCAGTCCAGGGACGAGGGCACGGTGCAGAGTTAATGCAAGTGCGATGACATTTGGGCGCCGCGGTGGCGAGACGTTATCTCCCTCGCCTGGTAGGGAGGTCCTGGGTTCGAGCCCGGCCCTCTGATAACTGCTGGAGTCTGCTTGTTCTCTCTCTCTCAGTGGTCGCGTGGCTTTTTCTCCAGGTCCTCCGGTTTGTCCCTCCACATTTAGAAACATGCGTTTAGAGTATTTTTCTGCGATACATTTCCACGTGATAAGCCACTTCATTGAGATATAATTATTTGTGGCCAGTTCGCTTCTAAAAATAGCTATATAGCTCAGTGGGCCTTACCTGGTAAACTATAGAATAGTTGAATACTCTAAATAGTATAATAATGTAGATGTAAACCCCATGCCACCAACAGGGCTGGCCAATTACGCCTTGAGCCTGTTTGGTTCAACGGTTTGGCACAATAGACTTACAATCCAGCGGTTGCAGCTTAATCTCCTGGTGCGGCAGTTGAAATATCGGGGCGAGTTTATTAAATCACTCCGCCTCTTTGCACCCTGCAGTGTAAACAGTTGATCGTCAATTTGCGTGTTGGGAGGTAAAGTGCAGCAACTCTCAACTGTGAAAAGGTGTTTAGCAAAAGTGAAAAGTAGGCCAAAGACCCTCATTGAGGGGCTCTCTAATGGAGACCGTTCTACCAGAAGCGACGTTAGCAAACAATTGAAGGGCTCCACCTATGAAGGCCAGCACAACACAACACACGAGGGGGTGGGTGGATAACATCACGCCCGACCTTCTTTGTCTCTCCAGTGCTAATATTCACACACTGCACAAGGTACTAATTTTTATGTATGCATGTTGAACTTATTTCGCACCGTACGTAGCTAACTGCTAATCGGAGATAATTTAAGGATTAATTGATCGAGGGAAGATAGATCGGTTCATATATTCATCATCATTGTTGGCTTTAGCGGGAATTGAACTCGGGTTGCTGGGTTAGTAGCACAGTGCGCTAACTACTACACACCCACTCCCTACATAAGGTACGTGAATATTAACATGCAAACACACACAGCCATGTTGAGTGTTCTAGCTTTTTTCAGCAACTGGAAACATTCTGCCCCAATTTTCACCTGGCAAAAACTATTTCCACCTGCCCAGAAAGTTTTATTTTGCTGTGAGGGAAATTTATGGTACTTAAGAAGGCACCTGAAACATCGTTCTGCCAGATTGTCACAGCCCAGCAGCAGCAGCAGCAGCAGCAGCAGAAAACTCACTCCACCCACAAACATACGTGATATGGCGAAGTCATATCACCAAGCCCACTCAGATGTAGGAGCCACGGTGGTGAGATGTTAACTGCCTTGCTGGTATACAGGATGCCGTGGGTCTGATCCCAACCATGACACCTGTATATTTAGAGTTTGTGTGGCTCTCCCCGTGGTCGTGTGGATTTTTCTCCGGGTCCTCAGGTTTTTCCCTCCACATATATAAAACATGTATTTAGAGTATTTGGCTGCTATAAATTTCCACGTGTTAAGCCACTTCGTTGAGCTATAATTTGTGATAGCCAGGTCGCTTCTGAAAAATAGCTATATAGCTCAGTCGGCCTTACCTGGTAAAAAATAAACATTGTAGTTTTAACAGATGGACATTTGTGTCTTCATATGGCTGCAACACTGAACCTGAATAAGACGAAGTGTTTTGCTTCTTGCCTACAGCTTTTGTTCCATTAATCTTTTGGGTTTGCAAAATTCAGTCAAGCCAATGTGTAGTGAGTCCAATTGAGTCACAGACGTTGTCTTGGGAGAAACACTTTATTTCACCAACTCAACATAACACAACCTACACTTGGGTGTTGAATGCCCATCGAGCCACGCTATGGCAGAACTAGACACGGTTCGCTATCCCGGCCCAGACCACAAGCTGGGTCCCGACGTGGATCTTCTTCACCAGCAACCTGAAGAACCCCGAGCCCTTCACGGGGCCCCGTTATATCGGCCTGGGCTGTGGCTGGCTCCGCCCCTCGCCCCGCCCACCTTCTAGATCTCTTTCCTGAAGGCTCCCGAAAGCTCTTTTATACCACGTGACCACCCACCGGTGGCCCCCCTCCACTATCATCCGGTCACGTGTCGGCAGTTCAACCAGCGTATCATGCCCCAATGTAACCTTGGCTGGCTGACACTCCCTCTCGCTCCCTCACCGGGAGCCCGCTCTGCACACTGTACGTGGTGTCTCCGTGCTGACCAGTGCTCACCCAAGCCCTGCTAGGGCTGGTACTACGCCCAGTAAGCGGGCTACACATAATGCCAACACATTATCCGCCGTGGCTTCGTAAGCCCGGCACCACACAGTGACATTCACATACCGTGCAAGAGAAATTACTAATAAAGGACACAGTAGCCTCCTGACCATACAGGTATGTAGTTTTCGTAGCTATGCTGAGCTTAGTCAGTGGAGGTTTATACATAATATGCAACATTGTATAGAACTAAAACTCAATGAAACAATTTTTATTTG